TTAACAATAAGAACAACACAACTGAAGCGATTCTGATCTATAGTGACAAAGTATAGGGCTTCTGAGCAGCAGCTGGTGAGCTTGAACTGCTGAACTTACAGTTCAAACTGACTTTGCAGTTCACTACATTAACCCACAGTGCCATACTAGAATCCACATGAAATATTATGAAACCCCAAATATCATTCATAACCCCCACTTACTCTAAAGCACACACTCTGTTAGATGATAATATAAGAGAAGTACCAAAGAGAGGCCTCATCTGTCTTACTCCATTTGACCTACACTGTTTCTCACATGCTTTGAGTAAAATGAAGTCTAAAGGTCAGTGTCAGGGATTGGTTGAAGCAATATAAGTTTGGTCTATATTCTGACTCTAGTTAAATTCTTACAGTTCCGACTGTGATTTAGAAAATGGTTTTGCCTGGCCCAAATTTTCTCTCCAATAAGCTTTTTCACCTGGCCTGAAATTAACCACAAGTATCTTAGATCAGGGGGAGCATTGGTAGAGTAGTGATTAAGAGTCAGGCTGCTAACCTCAAGGTCAGCAGTTTGAAACTACCAGTGGTTCCGTGGGAGAAAGATGAGGCTTTCTGTTCCCATAAAGATTTACAGCCTCTGAAACCCTACACAGGGTCACTGAGAGTTGGAACCAACCATACGCACACCACCACCATCACCATCTTAGGCCAGAGGCAATTATGATATGGAAGCAACAGAGCCCACTACTACAGAAGTGAGGAGTTCTGCATTCAGCCAAGCCCATTAGTAGTTGGGAATGTGTCCTAAAGCAAGCTCCTTTAAAAGCCAAGGTCATACTTTCTTTGGAGCCCCTGGATTCTGCAAACATTTAACAGGTTCAGCAGCTAACTGAAAGGTAGAGGTTCAAGTTCACCCAGACGCATATGAAAAGAAAAGTCTGGCAATGTTCTGAAAAATTAACCATTAAAATCCTAGGAAACACAGTTCTCCTTTGACACATGTGGGGTCGCTAAAACTTGGAATCTACTCTGACACATATGTTGTTGACACGAGTTAGAATAAACACAATGGCAAGCAGTTTTTGCTTTCCTTAGCCCTAAAATGAGGGAATGTGACCAGACAATTCCTAAAGAGCTTTGAAGTCTTTGCTAGGTCTCCTCTTGAAGCTGATCTCCTGTTTAAAGAACATTTTTGACAGCTTGATCCTAGATTGGTTGTTGTTGTTAATTGCCTTCCAGTGTGTTCTGATTCATAGTGACCCTGTATAAGGTTTCTGAGGATCTGCTGGTGTGTCTGAACTGTCACCTTGTGGATTACATTGACCTTACAGTTTAGTGCTTATCCTACAGTGCCACATCAGAACTCTTGGGGATAGATGACCTGAAGCCACTCTGTATACTCAGGAAGAAAGGGCAGGTACTGATTCTTCTAATGGCTGCTATTTAGCTGATCACCTTGATGATCCAGGCCCACTTATTCTCTGACTCTGACTGCTGGTTTAGAACATGTTCCTTGCCATCAGAGACAGGTAGCGCACACTGCCACTGTCTTGTCCTCCACCTACTTTGAGTTGTGATTATTCTACCAACTTAATGCTGTATGCTGTCTTGAATCTCTCTATGTTTCTGATTTGACAAGTACCTTTATTGCTTTCATGTACTTTGGGTTATATGTGTTTTAAAATATATTTTCAGTGATTTTTATCAGATTTTAGAGGGAGGAGAAAAGAATAGGAGGACTCAGCTCACCATGTAAAATGGGGGAATTTTGTAATATAGATTTTTAGTAGAGGCCTTCATCATTCATGCTGTTTTCATCCAGCAAACACACAATAAAACTTGATTGGTGTTGGGCACTGTGCTGGCCAGCAGGAAGAGATGCCTCCACTGAGTGTCTGTTCTGATCATTCTAGAAGAAATTCACATCCCTTTAGAACAATGCATAGATGCAGGATGTCCAGGAGTAGTAGCAGTGGTGGTGGTGCAATGGTTAAGCTTCCGGCTGCTAAGCGAAGGTCAGCAGTTCAATCTACCAGAAGCTCTGTGGAGAAAAGACCTGGCATTGTGCCTTTATAAAGATTATATTCTAGGAAACCCTATGGGCAGTTCTACTCAACAACAAATACAGTAAATGTCATTTTATACAGAATGGGGTACTTAGAACCCATAAAAAATCTCTAGTAGGTTCCATGTACACAATGTGTCTAGTAGGTACATGACACATTATGATGGGTTAATACGTTCCAAACTTTAGTGCTTGGACTAGAAACAGATATAATTAAGTGGGAAAAAATGTAATTATAGTGTTATGGCAATAGTTGCATTTGGCAGTTATACACCTAATATTAATAAGTACTACATTTCAGAAATGTGATTAGAATTCAAATGTGTACTGTTTTACTGTAGTTAATTATGTGACTGTTGTTGTTGTTATGGGCCGTCAAGTCAGTTCTAACCCATAGCAACCCTGTATAGGGTTTCCAAGGAGCAGTTGTTGAGCTTGAACCACTGACCTTGCTGTTCAAACCCCTTTGCAGTCAGGCATATTAACCCACAATTCCACACCAGGACTCCAAATATGTGATTAGAGTCTGCTGTGTCTATCTTTTCTGTTTTCTTTTCTAATGGACAATTCAAGTGCTTTGATTGAATGCATATGGTTGAGACTTTTTAAGTCAAAAAGAAGCTAAGAATTCCATTCTTTCATTATTTATTTATTTTCCTTGTTAGGGTAACATTTTAGTTGAAATCAGATCAGGATGAAACAGGAGAACAGCCTTCAAAGGAAACTATCAAAGTGGAAGAACTGTGTGGGGGAGGGGTGGTAGGGCAGGAGGCTCTGCCTTGGTGAAGGAAGTGGTCAGATGGGAAGTTGGTGTCTTTATTGGACCCAGGGCATTCTTTCACAACCAGTGGGGGCATCTATTCCTGCTGGCCAGCACACTGCCCAACTCAATAAAACTCAAGTTTTATTGTGTGTTTGCTGGATGAATGAGTGCTCCCAGGACTGAGTTACTCCTGAAGCACATTTTTCACCAGGAAGATTCTCCATGGGTGGTGAGTCTTGGTAAAAACACCAATAGTGTAAGTGGGTTGGCCATGCCCCTCACTAAAAAGTTTATAGGCCAGCATGGCAGCCTAGTCAAATCAACCCCACCCCCTATCCAGCCTCTGTTTAAACAAGATTAATTGCATGGAAACAAGCACAGGCTCTTGTTCAAAGTGAAGTGGACCCCCTCTTCAGCACTGTTTGTTTAGGGCCAAAGTCCTGTCACAGATCTGACTTCTGACTCACTTTGTCTCTCTCCTCTGTCAATTCATTATCCCCAAAGGCCAGGGTTGCATTTCCAGGGTTGTCTACCTGTTGCTGAAAGTGCATCACCTCCTCAGAGCTCATCTCCCCATTGCTGTCTGCTCCAGAGGCTGAGTAACTGTAGATTCAGAGTGACCTGTCCTGCCCAGCAGCTCCCTGCAGGCTCCACACCTCAGCTCCCCTGGCCAGGAGACTGGCTTCAGTCCCATCTGGGCCCACCTCAGCCCTAGGGCTGCCCCTCCTCGCTGCCATGCCTACTGCTATTCCTGAGCATCCTCATTCCATGCTGGGATACTAGCCCCTCCACTGCTCTCCCTTACCCGCACCAGAATCTTGCTCTGGAGAGCAGTGGGAACAGACTTCCCTCTCACAGCTCTTTCCTCTGGATGAGCCAGCACCAAGTAGAGAACCTCCACAAAGGATTTTAAATGGAAGTTCTACTTTATCAATTTCAGAAACATCAATGGATTCTTACAGAAACATCTCGTTAATTTATCCTCCCAAAGAAATCTCCAGCTGCTGGCCTGGTAAATGGATGTTGTGGCAACACCCCACCTTTGGGAGACTTCTTGTCCCACCTCTGAGGAGCTAACTTGTCCCAGCACACAGGTTAATTAGGACCTGTGATTTAATTAGGGTACTTCTCCATAGTCTGGATTTTTTACATTTGCTTAGGAGTCTGATGGTACAGTGGGTTTAATAAACACTGGATTGCCAACTAAAAGGTCAGTGGTTCAAACCTGCCATCTGCTTCATGGGAGAAAAGATGAGGCCGACTGTTTCTGTAAAGAGCAGTTCTGCTCTGGCCTCCAGGGTTGCTATGAGTCAGAGTTGATTTAGCAAATCTTCAGGATAAAGGATTTCCTTTAGCAATCACAAGTGTCCAGCCAGTGCAATTCATAAGGGATCCCACCTGGGATCAGATCCCCTGGAAGCATCATTGGTGACTTCATTTCTAATGTGTTCACAGGAGAGCATTTCTCATTCTCTAGCAGAAGTGGAAGCCTCCTCATCTTGCTGTTGTTGTTAGGTGCTGTCTAATTGGTTCCGACTCACAGTGACCCTATGCCCAATAGAATGGTCCTGCACCATCTTCCTAGTCACTGCCACACTTGTGCTCACTGCTGCTGCCAGTGAGTCATCCACCCTGAGTGGGCTCATCTTTAAGCACTGTATCTGACATTCAGAAGTAATTTACCTCTTGCTGGTCTGTCTTAGTCTGGAAGCCCAGCTGAAACCTGCTCGCCCTGGGTGACCCTGCTGGTATTTAAACTATTGGTGGCATAGATTCCAGCATCACAAAAACATGCAAGCCACCACAGTATGAAATCTGATTGGTTTGTTAAACGTGGGGCTTTTCAAGTTTTGAAATTTGCCTGGGAGGCTGTCAGGAGCTGCTTGGTCCTCTGTCTGGCACACTCAGGTCACCTGGCCTGGCCTTCTTCCTAACAATTCCAGTTTCCTCTGCCCTGAGCATGTGATGGCTTCTTTGAAGGAGGGCTTGAAGTTGCCTTAATGATAAGTGTGAGTGTAGTTTTAAGATGCCTTCACTAGTTATGAATGCTGGACATTTATGAAAAGACAGCTGCCACCTGTGTCAGAGTCTGGAGGATTTGAGATTAAAGCTGCTCACCTATTGGTGGGATCAGGGGCCGTGTGTAGAGGGGAGGGGGATGTCTGCTCTTCACTGAGGTGTGTGATGAGATATGTCATCACGTGGCCTGGCCGTGATACATGACTGGGAACTGTGCATTGTATCCTTTTCTGAGGCTAGGGTGGAGCACATTTTTGATCAGGAGAGGAGATGCAGATGTCAGGAAGTGAATGAGAAGGCTGTCTGGCCAGGGGTATGAGAACATGCAGCTTTGGGCAGGAATTTATACTACAAGACTGGTGCCGGCAGCCTGGATGCAGGGGTGGGTAAAAAACTGGCAAGATCACAATGTTCATTCCTTGTAGGGGAGCTGGAGACATTCAAAATGGATCTGTTTGTATGGTGCTTCTTATTTGGTCCTTGTGCTCATTGAGTTTGAGAGTAACCACCATTCTACTGAGTTGTTCTCTCAGATGTTCTCCGAGCTGTGGGCTGGGGACCCAGTGTCCTTGTTTTCTCTGCTGAGTTTTCTTTCCAGCAGCAGTGATAAGAGCCCGTGGGCCAGAAGCTAAATGACCTATGTTTGTTCTGATGGCCAGCAAGATGGTTAGCATTATCTGACTCAGGTGGTTTTTCTGAAGGACACCTCCCCTAATTCATAGATTTCATCCTGTTTTATGTTCTGTTTGTATTACTTGGATTCTGAGTAATAACCTTCTTGGGCTGACTCACAGAGCCCCTGCACAAGGACTCCACACCATCTGTTGCACTTACTTGACCCCTTCAAAGATCAGCCCTCTCCCCATTGACTCATCTTTCACTGCTTTCTTCTTCTCAGGAAGGAAGTCTTTACTGAACCATCTGTACTTTAGCTTTGGGTTTGGCAAGATAAATACAAACAGGTGTGGAAACTTCACCTTAGTAAGTTCACAGAGTCATTAGTGCTTCCTGCCTGACTGTCATGTCTTTCTCACACTTCCACCCAAGGGTGAGCCACATGCGATCTACACTGGGGAGAATGCCCAAGACCAGTTTGAGTACAAGCTGGAGCAGGCCCTGGAGACTCAGTACAAGTACATTGTGATGGAGCCCACACGCATTGGGGACGAGACTGCCCGCTGGATCACTGTGGGCAACTGTCTGCACAAGACCACTGTGCTGGCAGGCACTGCTTGCCTCTGCACTCCGCTGACCCTACCCCTGGAGTATTTCCACTACATCTCCCTGCCGGCTGGTGTGCTGAGCCTAGCCTGCTGCACCCTCTATGGGATCGCTTGGCAGTTTGACCCCTGTTGCAAGTACCAAGTGGAGTATGATGCCTACAAACTGTCCCGTCTACCTCTGCACACACTCACCTCCTCCACTCCCGTGGTACTGGTCCGGAAGGACGACCTGCATAGAAAGAGACTGTACAACACAATAGATCATGCTGCCCTGGCTTACTGCATAAAGAAGATTTATGAACTCTACCTTGTATGATTTCATGAAAGAAGGGAGAGAATGCAGAACAGCCCAGCTCAGAAAGACAACAGTGCTCAGACTGCCAGAGTCATAGCTTTGTCCTGTGAAACAGCACAGCCTGGGAAGGTAATTGGTTATTCATTGTTATTTTTTAAAAATTAACACAGATCATGGATTTTTGCAGCACATTACACTAAGATGTGGCTTTCCATAACCCAAGAAGGGGTCTGAAGCTGTGGACATCTGACTGGGCAGTGGATTGCTGAGCAGAAGCAAATACTACTGAGGGGTGTGAGCGTGTTTTGGGTGATGGGGTGTTTAAGTCTATTTGTTTAACTTTACCATTGGAGCCAACCAGAAGCTAATGACCATTAAAATGATGAATGTTTCCATTGCAGGTGTTTTCTCTCTTTATGCTGTACTTGTAGTCTGCTCTGGGTGGCAGCCTGCACATGCAGGGACTGTGGCCTGTCCACCTCCACCCCACTTCCCCTAGAAGATGAGTTCCTAAGTAGGGTAGACCTGGGCCCTAGGCAGACAGACCCTCCTGAAGTCATGACCTTCCAAGACCATGCTTCAGGCTGCGGTAGGACAAGGGGTGTGTGGCTTTGACATGAAGGTTAGTTTAGGTGCATGTGAGACCCTGGATCTTCTCCACTGTGTTCCAAGGCCCCCTGAACTATTACTGATGTGCACACCGAGTTCTCTTTGTCTTAGGCTGAGGGAAGGGCAGCCTTCCCAGTACTGTCTAGCTGTTGGTGTCACAGCCCTGCTTTACAGGCCAGCTCAGGCCCTTGCCCAGAGCTGGCCACTGCTTGTGATGTTACTTGTATCTCTGAGAAAGGGCGAACCCTTACCTGAAAGCTGGAATTTCTCAAAGACCTCTATCCTTCAATTATCCGAGGATCTAAACACTTGTTTTCTGAAGGCCTAAAAAGTCAGATTAGCTTTTTATTTGGTTTAAATGGACTAATCAGAAAGGGGTGATAGGGCCATTTTTGTAGGAAGGTTCAGAGCTTTTAAAGATTTAAAAAGAGACTTATGAACCACATGTTTATTTCAAGAGCACTAAACATAGTACTCACCTATTTAAGTACTGGGTTTGCATGACTCTGGTAATCTGGACCAGTGGTAAAGAGGAAAATGTCTGGGCCTCACAGAGGGACCTACAGCATACACTTGTCCTGGCTGCGTAGGCACGCTGAAACCCAGGGCCTCTATATCAGATGGAAAAGAGATGTTTGGGAAGCCGAACAGAAGCCCTCAACCAAAATAGAAACTCGGGGCAAATGGTACTGCACCTTACCTTTTTCAGTTGTCCTCAACAGTGTGATTTGTGTTGAATGCTCTAATCCAGATACTGAAATGTCATCTTAGTGATTCTTCATCTGGCCAAGGAGCAGATAACAATGTGATGTGGTGGAGAAGGCAGAAAAGACCTCCACCAGGAAGGGGAAGCACTGAGACCCCTCCTATATAGGCTCCCCTCCTGGTCAGTACCACCCTCTGACTGAGAGGCCATTCTGAGTAGGCCCCATCATTCCTGATGTGCCACCATGCTGTTGAAACACAAAATAACTGCAGTAATAACTGTCAACTCAGAGAATGCAAAGACCACATTTGCATAGCCTATATGTGTTGCAGACCGTGTAAAGCTGGTCAGAAGTTCAAGGCCCACTGGGCCCAAGTGTTGCAGACAATGCAGGCCACAGGTTCTGAGGAACAGATTCTGGCCACTGGGCAGTCATAACAAATTGTTTTTCATCATAGTGTTCAGTTATGTTTTATTAATTCCAAACATGAGCCCTTAGTATCCACAGATAAATGTAATATTTTCCTAAAGCCGAGACTGTAAAGGTTTCAAGGTTAAACCTTTCTCCAAAGGATTAACTGAAAATAGCTTAGCTACTTCCCAGTTCTTTGTTCTATAGACAAAAAAGCCATCCTCCCTAAATCTGTTCCAGGTGCAGGTTATTCAGCCAAGTTCCTGAAAACCTGGCTCAGGAAGCCAAAACAGCGGGACTCCTCACAAGCCTTTTGTCCTTCCCTCTCACCTTCCTCCAACTGAGCTCAGGGGCTATAGATATGTTAATTGAGCCTGAGAAACCAAGTTGCGGGCCTGGAATTTGAACCAGCGAAGTACGATGTAAAGTTACTTGAATGTCTGGAAAATTACTGATGTTAGCTGTACCTTGTCTTAGTCTCTCCCAGCTTGGTGTGAAGCTCCTCCACTAAATAAAATGGAGACGCAGGCCGCCCCAGGTGTGCATTACGACTTGGAGGGCATGCAGTACAGTTTGCAGGGCAGTGAGTTGCCGCCTGCAGAGGCCACGATGCTTGTAGTCCCAAGTCTGCCCACCAGTGATGGATCCACCCTGGTTTTGGGGTGCCTCTTTGTCTCCCTCTTTTTGTCTTTCTGTGTATTCTTTTGCTATCCCTTTTGCCACCAGATATCCCCTCCTCGTGAACCAAACACTCGTGTCGAGGCTGGTCTCTGACATATATGTACTCTTTCAGGGAACAAATCGTGTAACAGGTTTATCTAGTTTTAATTACACATCTGCATACCAATTGTGCTACTATATGATAAAAGCACTGGGCCACTTTGTTGTTGTTGTTATGTGCCTTCGAGTCGGTTCCGACCCATAGCGACCCTGTATAGGGTTTCCGAGGGTGTAAATCTTTACGGGAGTAGAAAGCCTCATCTTTCTCCCGCGGAGCAGCTGGTAGTTTCGAACCGCTGACCTTAAGGTTCGCAGCCCGATTCATAACCACTACGCTACCAGAGCTCTAGGTAGCCACTAGGTTGGCTTAAACCACAAGGTTGGTGGTTCAAATTCACCAACTGCTCCTTGGAAACCCTATACAGGGTCACTTTGAATCAGAACTGACTCGAGGTTACTTAACAAGTTGATGTTATAGTCCAGCTAGTCAGGAAAGGTACAGGTACTGGTCCTCAACCACTTTCCAGTGGCCGTGTTCTAAACCAGGCAGTCTGTCAGCTCCCCGAGGCTGCACATCTGGCTCAGTAGCTGCTGGTCCTGCTGCAGAAGGGAAATTGACCCCTCAGTGCTATTTTGGTTGGCAGGCTGCCTAGGTGACTATGTCATTCTCATTCAACCAACCACTGGGGCTTGCCAGACTTTGATTTTGGCATAATGGCGACTTCTGCCTAGGGCAGTGAAACACTAAGAGGCTTGAAGAGCAAAAGGGAAAATGTCTTCAATCTTTGCCAGACGTTTGGAGGCAGAACCAATTAAATTGTGCTTTTCAAGTCTTCTCAGTTAAATTCAAGGATGAAAGAGCCAAGGTGTAGAAATGGAAGATAAAAAACAAGAAGCAGCAACACCATCTCTGGTGGCAAATTCAAACATTGGCTTGAGCGTCTCCCTAGAATGATAGATCCTGCATAGATAAGGGGATGGAAAAAACTCAGACAAGACTTTCCCAGCAGTGGCCTGGGTACCAGTACAGAGCAAGAGCAAGAGCTGGCAAGACAGCTGTTTCGGGGTTCTTAGCTAGGCTCTGCTCCCTCTTAATTGAAGGTCTTGCTGGCTGGGTTCGGGTGGGGAGTAGGCTATCTTTCTTGCCTCTCTGGCATTTGCCAGCTGCAAGTTGGGCCTCAGATGCAGCCTTTGGCACACAGCCATATTTAGCTAGATTTAATCATTGTTCTGGTGTGGCGCTGTGGTTTAATGCACCAGCCTGCAAGGCCATTTGAACTGCAAGGTTGGTGGTTCAAGCTCACCAGCTGCTCCTTGAGAACCTTATACAGGGCCACTATGGGTCAGAACCAACTTGATGGCACTTAACAACAAAAATAATTGCTCAATTTGCATTGTATTACCATTTATAACAAGGGCATACTGGATTTCCATATATGGTAGAATATCAAGTGAAGATGATCATACTAACAGTATTGGATGCATGAAGTGTAAAGGGGATGTTTAGGTTGGGAAGCCCCTCAGTAGTTTGCTCCATGCATCAGGTATTGAGCTATACCCAAGTTAGGGCTTGGTGGGCTCCTGGCCACCTGTTACACTGGTTACACAACAAAAAAATCTTAGTGTGTAGTGTTGCACATATGAGGAATGAATAAACTTGGATTCCTCTGTTTTCGGGATCGTAACTTGCTGACCACTTTAGTTCCTGGAGAGAGAAGAAACATGTGGACATGAAGCCAAGTGTCAGCCCAAGGAGAGCTACTCTCAGGAAGGACAGATTAGAACCAGCTGTGCACTTATCCATTTAATTAGACTCCAGACAGGGCTTCCCTTTAGAGGGGTGTGTGCCAGCTCCAATTTTACTGTCTAGCATGTAAATTAAGGTCTTTCCCTTCAACATGAGGTGGACATAGAAAATGTAGACCCCCCCTATCATGCCTGTGCCCATGTTTTAGCTGAGGAGAACTGGGATGCCAAAGACAAACTATAAGAACAAACTCAGAGACTCTGGGAGGTTTGTCTATGACCAAAACAAGTACAATGTAAAAGATGGTAAACATGTAGGAAAAGAGATTCAGATAGTGAGAAGATCAGGTCGATTACAGGACAAAATAGACTGAACTAAATGGACAGAAAAATTAATGGACTATAAGGCAACCTCAAAGAAAAATAACACTTCACAACACACCAAGAGAATGAGAATCCAAGAAGAATATGAAAACATTAAAACTATGAGGAAACACACACAAGAAAGAACACAAAAATCATGAATTCAACAAAGAAAGACAAACAGAATAAACAAGTAGCAACACCACACACACAAAAAATACAATGACAGCAATTAATCAATACTTATCGATAATTACACGGAACATAAATGGATTAAATGCACCCGTTAAGAGATGGAGGGTGGCAGAATGGATAAGAAAACAAGATCCTTCAATATGATATCTGCAAGAGACGCATCTCACACACAGAGACAGATTAAAAGTCAAAGGATGGGAAAAAATATACTGGCAGGGGCCATGATGGCTCTGATAAAAAATACATTGCAACAACATCAGAGGCCATGTC